CAACGAAATGTTTCATATCATTCTTGGCCTTATGACTGCAATAATTAGAAAACATGCAAACAACGTTGACAGAGAGATGACTGTTGTAGTTCAAGAATTCAAAATCTCATTTGTACTTGACACTGTTTTTAAAAATGGACTCATTCACTTTAGTAGAAGTGAAAAATGAGTAATGACGAGGAGTTGGGAAAATGTATGTCAGCGTAGATAGTAGTATCATGAAAATGTATTCAATTCAGTGAGTCATGCCTTGTTTCTTTTTAAGTCTTCCTTGAATATAATTATATAGCAGAAGAGATGGGAATCAAGCTGTCAGGAGAGACAGACAGGGCACAGACACCTGAGTGAGAACCAGAGACACCCAAAATATTAGAGCTACACAAAAGACCCAACATGGCTAAAGTATAATATATTATAAAGTACTTTGTTTACATTTTAGAATTACATTAGTAGTAAAATAAGACCAACTTCTTACAAATCTTATGAGATAGTACAGAATGTTATATAAACAGAGGGGAGCTGAGACGGTTGTCCTAGAGTCTGAGTGTTGGCTGTTTGCTGACCATATGACCTTTATTAGATCTTTGCAGTGTGCTGTTTACTTCGATGCATAATAGGGAAGTAACTTAAAAGCATAGCAGGGATTGTTGCAGTTTATGGTCAAGAAAGTATCTACTATTACTATTATTATTGGTCAATTTTTCAAAATAACCTTGACCTTACATAGAATAAATTATGTTCAGGGTAAGAGGTATGGCAAGGTTCATTTATGGCTATTTCTCTTAAATACTGGTAAATAAATCCAAGTATTAAGAAAGTTTATTGTATAAATTGCCATGGCTCAAGACAGAAAGATCAGGCAAGATGATGGTAGAGCACTGGATACTCCAATATATATGGCCTTTAAGCAATTTGGAGCAATGCCAAATGGCCTTACGAGACTTAATAAATAGGCAATATTCTTTCTAATATATTAAAAATAAATTTTAATGCAGACATTTTCCTATACATTACGACTTACGCAGATTCGTTTCCAAACCACCCAGCTGCTACAATGTTAAATAAATTCATTTTAATCTGAAATCAGAGATGTAATAGAGAGAGGTGATTTAATATGCAATCTCATTATGTTTGACAGGCTTATTTATAAATGATCTACCCCACATTTTGACAGGCATAGTTAATATGTTAATTAGCTTTAAAGAAGATGACGATAGGAAGCGCTTGGCACGCCATCGTTCTTTGCACACTGTGTTGGGGGACACAGTGGTTGATACCACCAGCTCCCTCTAAAGCACAATGCCTTTGATGAGATAATCATTTATTAACAGTAGATAATTTGGTTATCTGACATTAAAAATTAAACCTGTAAAATAATCCCCAACTGTGTTCTTCTTTTGAGAATGTGTGCAGCTGCGACATAAATCTGGGCATCTAAGAAGGAATATAAGCTTATTTAAAGCAGCGGGCTCCACAGTAAGAGCTGTGCTCTCTAACAGGTGAAGAGCTACACAGGAAGCTACCCTCATACCCACGCTTCCTGTCATGTGCTTTTCAGAACCCTGGGAGTCTCTCTCACTTCAAAGCTCAGCAATGATGTCCCGTGCTCTGACTTTCAAGGAGCTACACCATCCAAGAATTAGCAGACTGTTTATAAGAGGCAACGTTCAATTTGATTCTGCTGCTTCGATCTTCATTTTTGAAGGGAAACAATGGTATGGAAACTACCTTGGTGGAGGTCTCGAGACGCGCTTGGCATTCACGCACTGCCTTGGTGCTGGCAACCTACAGGAGAAGCTCCCAATAGTGCCAGCTCTGATTTCTATCACATGCTGACAGTTACTGCATATGTGTCTTCATTAATATTTTTAGTGCCTGTGGCCATTTAACACTGTGTAGGGATCATCAGTTCTTAGTTACTGCCCTGCAGCCCCAGGACAGTAAATGAACTGTAAAAATAGCCTGGAACTCCTGCCAGCTGCCTCCCTGGGTTAATATTTGTGTTTCTTTTTGGTGCAGCTGAGCCATGGCTCAATTACAATCCCATTTCCAGGTGTCTGAATATCCTGCATTGATGCCATTGATTATGCAAAAAAAAAATCAGTGCCCTGTGAACGTCCCTCTCATGGGAAAGACACATGCATTTTTACCTGACTTACAGCAAAATAGCAAAACAGCTTTTAGAAAATTGCTCAGAATGACATCAGATTCAGAATGACAGGCATAGCATAGACATAATTTTTAGGCTTGGAAATGAACTGAAAAGAGGCATGGGGGTTGGGGGGCACAACTACTCAACACTGACACATTTGCTAGTTGTTTCTGGCAATGAATAATCTTGGCATGGGAACAAAAGGCACTTGGGGTCCTCCACTATTTTCTATCAGTTTTTCCCCTTCCTTCCAATAATGGACTTCTTTATATCCTAAGACCATGTCTCTTTTTGAAGCCAACTGGAAGCTAGTGCCCAAATTATCACTCATACACATGGAGTAGGGTCGGGGTCGGAGTAGGGAGTGAAGTTGGACAGCTTAGAAAACAAACAATGTAAGAAGCAAACATTTTAGCAAGGCAGAGACCACCCAGTACTTTATAGTATAAAGAACATTTCCCCTACTCCACCCTGTGTGTGCACATGCACACATGTGTGTTTCGGTGTGGTGTGATGTGTGTGTGTGTGTGTGTGTGTGTGTGTGTGTTATGGCATATGTGTGAATGTGGATGCATATGGAGGTCAGAGGTCAGCGTTGAGTGTTGTTTTTTGTGAAGCTCTCTACCTTTGAGGGAGGAGGTCAGTTTTCTCGATGGCTTGGAACTCTTCAAGTAAGCTAGGCTGACTAGACAGTGAGACTTCAAGCTCTGTCTGTCCAGAATATTCACAATTGTACATTGGTTCTGGAGACTGAATTCAGGTCCTCTAGCCCAAATTTGTAAACATCATTGTAATTTTGTGCTGTGTGTGTGTGTGTGTGTGTGTGTGTGTGCGTATGAGTCTTAGACACAAATGTGAATCACAGTGAGACCACATCAGTGGTGTCTTTGCTGTCCACCTTAATTTTTGAGACAAAGTCTATCCCTGAACTTGGAAATCACTGATTTGCTAAGTCAAGGTCGAGTGTCATGCCTGTCTCCTCATCCCCTGTGTTGGGGCTATATATATGTGCCACCATGTTAGACTTAGGGCATCACACTTGGAAACACTTCATAGCTGAGCCATGTACTTAGTCCCTCAGAGAACATTTTTAATGTTTTTTTCCCCATAATTGAGCCAGAGGCACAGTAAGAACGGTATCTTATGTTTCAGAGGGTATAATCTTGACTAAATTGCCAAGCATCTAAGACAAAACTGGCTCTACACCACAATTATTTCAAAACTACATTTTATTAGTAGGGACCTTAGCTGAACTCACTGAAAGACTATTAAGTATTTCCTCATGCAGAAAATAAAGAGAAAAAATTTTGTAACTCAAGACTGTAGTATAATTATTATTTGCATAGCCAACTCTCAACTAACAGTAGAAAGCAGCAAGGGACTAAGAAGGCAGCTAAAACACACCTGGGGGTGTGCACGGGTGTATGCACGGGTGTGTGCATGAGTGTGCACGGGCCTTTATCTCCAACCTTCCCCAATTAGAACTAATGTTCTAAGTATCTATGTTGCTCAAAAATAGACCTATCCTTAGGAAAAAATATTAACTAAATAAAGAGTAAATAAACATTAAAAAGCCAGTGTTAGGAAGTGTATATGATGAAAAGATGGATCAGCTCAGCCCCTCAATGTCAGGTAGTGATATTTATTCCTGGGACCTTAGAATATCATTAAAATATGATTGGATTTATGATAAAGTATATAAATTTATGATAACAAATCTTCAGGTGTTTGATTGCCTGGATTCTTTTACAATGCTATTGAAAGCTATATAACCTAAGATGATAACTATGTGCTTATAAGATGCTGCAGATAATTTTTGTGGCTCCACAGCAAGTCCCACACCTAAGGGCATCCTAAACACACATTAAGAAAGTCCCCCAAGTTATCCATTGCAAGGAGCCTGATTGTTTTCTTAGTATTGTTTTTATATGAAAGAGGCCAGGTAAGAAGCTAGGACTCATTAGTGTCTAATATTTAAAAGCCAAGATTGTTAGGGGAGAGCCATGAAGCAACTACACAAGAGGAAAATAAATAATACTCACTGAAGTTTTACTGAGGCCATAAACATTATATGATCATGGAGCCAAAATTTAAATACAGCAGCATAATCATTCAGGAATGATGGCTCTGTTATAAAATAGCCACAAGCTTCATGAATTATTTTACTTCAAAACCAATTGTGAATCCAGAAAAGGGAAAGGCATGCTCAATACCCATGTGTGATACTCTCTTGCATGCTAAGAATAAGATTCTTTCCCTTTGAGGATTATACTTCGTACCTCACATAAATGGGAATACAGAGAAGCTTGCCAGTATTAACAAATATGTAACAAACATGACCAGTCATTTTAATTCATTAAAGATTTTTAACAGCTTGGGGAAGTACTGCATGAAATGACACTGTCTTGAAGTTATTCTATATTTTTTAAAAAGTCATGGTGTTTCATTTTGGAAAATTAGTATCAATAGCTTTCCATCAAACCAATTACCAGAGATTTGTAGTAAATATAAACATTTGTCTCCTAATTCTAGGTCTACTGCTCTTTGAAGATACCCACTTCCTCGTAATAAAATAAAACCATAAATTATGACCTCACAGAGAAAATTACAGTGCTGACAGTCAGACAAAAAGCCTCTGACCTTGTCCATCAAGAACTATTAGGAGACACCATCTGGAGCAGACTCTGATGAGGTCCCATTCCCAATCAGATTTTAAAAAGGCAACAGTACAGCCACACACAGGCAAGACTCCTGCACCATTAATCTTTGTCCAAACTGTTAGATGTTTGTCTAGGTTTGGCCCAGACAAATCATGGCACACAGATTAGATAGGGAACTCATTTCTCACCACATGTCCAGGCAGGTGGAATACTCTGTAGAGCCCAGGAGAACATCTGGAGGTCTGTACCACAAGGTAACCACTTCATTGGAGTATGTGTGGCTGGGGACGGATTTTGCTCTTGCAAGACCTGTAGGTTAGAGCAAACATAAAGAAGTTAAATGGGCATTAAAAGAACACGCCCTTTAAATTCAAATGTTCCATTTTAAAATGTTAAGCAACACTACTTAATTCAGATACATCAATGCAAGTTCAAGGTTAACACAAAGATTGAGGAGAACATATGTAGTCTCTATGTTCTGAAAACATGCTAATAATCAAGTCTTTCATATTGCAAAAAAAAGTATTAGTGTTGTAATTCTGATAAAAAATCACTAAACAAAATCACAACTACTCTAGAATCTCCTGGCTACTTCAAAATTCTGTTTTACAGAACTCCAGTTCTGAGAGTTCCTTATTTGTAAGCCACATCAATAAGTCCAAATAAAACTCAGAAAAGATATATTAAAGTTAAAGTTTCCCAGCTATACATCCAGTCAGTGCTACCAATGTTTGCATGGCTATTGAATCTGTAATAAGAAATACTTTTCTCAAAGAGCTTCACCAAAAGTTCTTACGGCGTGTGTGTTTCTCAAAGACTCACAAGGGGATGCACACTGGGGAGGTTTATCTGAAAACCAATGAGCTCCAGAATTATAAAGCAGTGATGGATCTAGCACATATAGATGGTGACAGCAGATATCAAATTGCAATGGGAAAAGGCAGCAATATTACTTTAATTGAAAATGTATGTGCAATTTGACCTTATAACCATAAATATTCACATACAGACAAAGACTGCAAAAAAATTAAAAACAAAACATGCATTCGTATGTCCTCAGGGGTTTACCTCTGGAATGTGAGATTATCCATTTTTAAAAAGATTTTAATTATGTGTATTGTGGTATATGCATATGAGTGTGAGAGCCTTCAGAGACCAGAAGAGAGTGTCAGATCTCCAGAAGCAGGAGTTACAAAGGTCTGAGAGCTTCCTGATGTGGGTGCTGGCAGCCAACCTTGGTCCTCTGCAAAGCCCTGTGTCAGCGCATGCTCTTAACTGCTGAGCCACCCACCCAGTCCCTCCCCTTCCATTATCTAGTAAGTTTTTCTAGTGTGTTTTCCCTGGGTTGTATGTAATGACTGTCTAATTCTCTTTGAAAAAAATGTTTATTTACAATGGTAATGGTTGAACACACACCCTCCAGCATGTTAAGAAAACAAGATATCCCCGGCCTAATACTTTAAAATGATTTATTTTTATTTTAATTATGTATATGTGCATGCACACTGTGTTTGTACATCCACATGCTACGTACACATCCAAGTGTGTGCCTGTAATGGCCACAAAAGGGGCATTGAACCCCTGGAGTGGGCATTACAGGCAGTTGTGAGCTTCCTGACTTGGGTGCTGAGAACTGAGCTCAGGTCTTCGGCATGAGTAGCAAGCATTCTAAATCATTGAGCCATCTCCCCAACCCTTCTAATTCACTTAAAGGTCATATATTTCACAGCATTGTTTTTGAAAGTGAAACAAGGAATAGATAACTATCTGGCTGTCATTAATGACAGATGCAATATGGTAGATCTGCAATGCTCCCTCGGGGCCCATTTGTTAACGACCAGTTCAATGGTGACAGTGCTACTGAGAGTTGATGGATCTTGGGAGATGGAGTCTATTAGAAGGATGTCGGTTCGCTGGGTAGAGGGAGGGCACAGTCTTAAAGAGGGTATCGGGGTGATAGCCTTTCTCCCTTTTGCTCCCAGTAGCTACAAGGTGAGTAGCTTTACTCCACCATGGGCTTTCTGCTGTGATATTCTGCTTCATCATAGATCCAAAAGCAAAAGGACTAAGTCATTACCAACGGAAACTTCTGAGACCATGAACAAAAAGACAATGTTCCTTCATCTAAACTGACCATCTCTGGTACTTTTTCCACAGTTATGTGACATATCTAGACCATAAGTGTAAAAGATCTTTTATTTGTATTATGCTTAAAGTGTTACATAATACAATTTGTTTTTGGAGGTGGGGGCGGGAACTTATTTTAACATGCTCATTTCAATGATCTATAAAAATTATCAGTAATATTTGGAAACATGAACTTCTTCCTGTTTATTAACCATAGCTGTTCAATTACTGGATTTGTGGGTAAATTTTAAGATTAATATGACAATTGGTAAAGCAAAAAATTGCTAATTAATTTAATTATCATTTTAGCCAATTATTCTACATTAAAATGTTTACAGTAAAGTGATGATATACTGAACTGCAGCTATATATATATATCCCATAAAAATGTAAGAAACATACAAATATACTCTACTATTCATACTATTTTGCACACAAATAGAAGTATTTCTAAGCACAGAATCCATGTAACACATTCTTTGCCTTGTAATGTTTAATCCTACCTCCAGTCACACAAAACTGTACTGTAGAGAGTGCCTCAACGGTTTAGTAAGCCCCTCAAAGGTCTGGTCCTTAAATGACTGCATTTTCATACAGAAACCAAAGAGCTAAGGACAGGTCTGGACATAGGTTCTGCCTCATCCCGTATGTGGCTGTCAAGTCAAATGGGATGCCAGACATGCTGGATGCTCTTGCTTTTCCTGAGGCCTTATTGTCAGACAGCTCAGACAGAGCTAGGAGAATGGAAAAACTTTGATTTCCTTTGACAGATTAGATAATCAGGCTTGTTTTTAATAGAAAGTGATACCCTAAGATGAGAAAAAAATGAAAAGAAACCCCAGAATGTCCTAAATATACTATAAATCAAAACCATCATATGTGATTGCAGATCAAATGTGAGTTGTGAAGTTGGTTAAGTATTTGTGGCAAATCTAAACAGAAATTCCTATTCTACACTATTTTCTCCCTCCTCACATACTTAGGTCAAGGAAAGCCACAGCTTCAAAATTCAAAGATGATTGAAATGGACCTATTAACTTTGAAAAAAATTGCAATGGTTCCCAAAGGTACAATGGAGATGAGTTTTCAACATTTTATAAAAGAGTTTTTAAAGAGGGTTTGCTTATAGATTTCTATAGAGAAAATAAGATTTTAGTCCAGAATGCAGTTTTCTCAACCACGTGGGAAGCTCTCTTATCACCTTTCATGAACATGCTCATTTGAAAGCTGATAGCTCTGAAGGTGTACCATACATTGATGAACAAAGGTGTTCATTCTAAAGATATTTATATTCATTTAATAAGAGAAATAAATCTTAATTTTGATCAGGAAAGACAAAACTACATAAACAATGGCTCGTTTTTTTTTTTAAAAGAATACCTTGAAATATGACTTTCTGGTACCATTTTCCCAGATCTTTTTGGTAAAGACCATGCTATGTATTTATAAGGTTCACAAATCAAAACCTGCTTACTCATGTAAAATTTATTAAACTGCATCTTTCAGCTGAAGGAAAACTGTAGGACAGGATTAATTAGCACAGCATGTGTGAAAGCTTTCTCTCTGTGTTCCCTGTCAGTTGCTATGGTTACACTACAGGAAGAGAGCTACACTACCTTTTAAAAAACATGAAGTTCATGGGTGATTATCAAAACTTATATTAATGTTTAGTCTGAATTGAAAGTTGAAAAGAAATGTGAGATGCCAACCAGATGAAGGCAGTTCGCCTGTACAATGCAGCATGGCTGAGTTTGTACACCTGGAAAGGGTACAGGTACCTATGGGTCCTTGTAACGGCTCTCATAACAAAGGGATGTATATAGCTTTTGTATTGCCACTTCTAATGAAGGCAGACCTGAGAGTAAAGAAGAAAGTTCTGCTATTCAAGAGCTACTGCTGAGAGTTCAGAGTTGGGATATCATTATTCCTGCACAATAGAAGTAAAAGAAGTTTTTTATCTAGCAATTTTCTAAGAATTCTTTTCCTGTGTTCATAGCATTGCTAACTCAGAGATAAGATCTGCGGCCATGTTGAGTTTGGTCGTATCCTCTAGCATGGTCAAAGAAGAAATCCCAGGACAGTATTCTCTATATTTGTATAAATAGATGAGACAATCAACACCAAATGATGGACATTCTGCAGCTCTTAATTGTTCTCTCTGGTGAGTTATAACCTGCTGATTGCTTTTCTTACTTTAAATTTCTTCCTTTACTTATGTTCTACAGAATAGTTAACCAGGAATGACATGGTATTCCTCTGGGACCTTATTATGTTTGTCTCATACTGGTTTTGTACAGGCTGTACATTTAAATCAGTATCTTGAAATGTGGGTATTCATGGATTGAACACTTGGGTGTTTAATGCAATGCTCAGAGGCAAGGCTTTTAGGAAGCAGTGGTTCATGGGAGCTTTGACCATGAATGGATTAATTCATGGACAGATTTGTAATTTGATGATACTATTTAGAGAGGGTGCGAAACATGGATGAAGGGTTTAGTTGAAGGGACTAGGTCTCTGAATGTATGACTTTTCTTCCTGTTCTCCAACCTTTTTCTCAACAATGAGATGAGCAGATTGGCTCTAACACACACTTTGTCCCTTGATGCTCTGCCTCACTAAGACATAGCAACATAGAGTCATGAGCTATCAACTTATACTCTTGGACTTCTGGGCTAAAATCAGCCTTTCTTTCCTTAAGCTAGCAGTTCCTCACAGTCCTGAAAAAATGACATGCAGAGTGTTTCTCAAGTGCATACAGGCTGTCAGCATGGTAGATAATGACTTGCTTTTCTGGTTCTTTTTTTTTCAAAATTCTTAACATGTTTTCTTTTTTTTTTTTTTTTTTGGTTTTTCGAGACAGGGTTTCTCTGTATAGCCCGGGCTGTCCTGGAACTCACTCTGTAGACCAGGCTGGCCTCGAACTCAGAAATCCGCCTGCCTCTGCCTCCCGAGTGCTGGGATTAAAGGCATGCGCCACCACCGCCCGGCCCTTAACATGTTTTCTTATATAACATTTTTTATTTAGTGGAAGCGGAATTTCTTTTTTATACAATATATCCTGATTGTGGTTTTCTTCTTCCATTACACCTCAGTCTTCCCCATCTCCCCTCCTATACAGACATATATCTTTTATGTCTCTCTTTAGCAAACCAAGAGGCATTTAATGGGTTACAATAGAATAA